GACAAGGTAGTGAGCGGCCAGGATCCTGTTCGACCTCCAAAAACCCCATGCCCAAATGTTAAACCAAGACATGTTGCCAAAGATGGCAGCCAAAGCAGCAAAATTACGAATGTCATGGGCACGGTGATAGACCGCAGGCTGGCTAGACTTAATAACCCTATAGACGACCTGGGAGAGCATAGCCCGGGAACAGGGAAGGGGGGAAACCGGGTCAACCCAAAGCGCATCCCCAGCCACCGAAGTCATGGTGCGCAAATAATGCCGGAGAGCCGGAACCAGGCACAACACATGATGCACCCCCGGCCTGACCAACCAAAAATCAACAACCTAAGGACCCCTCTGGAAAGCCGGTCAATATTGTTTATAGTCTATCACGATAATATTGTCATGAAACTAGCACGAGCTCGCGCTCTCCTTCTTTCCCCTTCATTTGGGAGGGAGGCAGCTTGGATCAGCTGGCAACTCCACCCTCAGTTCTTTGCTGATGGTAGTCAATGCCTGGCTGTTCTCTTAGTCAATCTGGCTTTGGTCTGTCATCAGCTGAATGGTGCTTTGAGGCTGTTCCTATGCATCGTTGTGCAGCAGAAGCCAGGAGTTTAGTGTGCTTGGAACTGCATGTGCCCAGGGTTTCCGTCTCTGTGTGCTCCTTAAGTACAGTATTGCCCTTGCACTGTGACTTTTTTTTCCTGGAGTGTTTGGGGATCACTTCCTTAACACTTACCCTGGCCCAGCGGGCGACCTGCCACACACCGCAAGGTTGGACGAGCGTTGCCCATGAGCACACAACCACACTCCAGTGTTTATACTCTTTCATTTTTCTCACCTCAATTTTTTGTGCTACGTCGTTCAGTTTGGTATCAAATTGTTCGGAACAGAATGCTATGAAGAGATATTTGCATATAAGAACATCTCTCTCACTTTTCTATACTTTCGACAAATACTGTATCTTGAGGTTATCTTGAGATGAGTTCGGGGCTTTTTTTTTTAGTGTCACCGCGGCCCGGTCCTCGACCAGGCCTCCACCCCCAGGAAGCAGCCCGTGACAGCTGACTAACTCCCAGGTACCTATTTACTGCTAGGTAACAGGGGCATTCAGGGTGAAAGGAACTTTGCCCATTTGTTTCTGCCTCGTGCGGGAATCGAACCCGCGCCACAGAATTACGAGTCCTGCGCGCTATCCACCAGGCTACGAGGCCCTGTACTCAATAACTTTTCCCTCGTACGTATTCCTTTCACTGCTTTCATCATCGAATGGCTCTGTTCTCGATCACTATCCATCTTGAAGTAAATTTGCAGTGTTTATAAAGCAGGTAACAACAAATACCTGAAATTAAATAACAAGAAAGGGGAAACTTTTTGACTGAAGGGGACGCCGTGGCTGCCTCCAGCAAGGTCACGAGAACAGTGAGTCTTCAGCGTGGGTGGGCACCCACACACACAGCGGGGTCGGTATGCCACGTAGGGTATATGGAGAAAAGGAAGATATTGGCACGCATTTTAAAAGAAGTCCCATATTATTCACACAATAGGTTGAACTGTAGACACTCGATTATCCGGGATTCGATCATCCGGAAAACGCCATTATACGGCCAAAATCGTGACCGGATAAAGTTATCTCAATATCCGGCCAAAATGACCGTGGGAGCCGGATAAAAAAATTTGAGCCGGTTAACTTGCTGCCGATGTTACACTATCCGAACAGTCAGCCGGATAATCATTGAATTGTCCGGATATGAAAGCCATGGGGCAGGCCGTACGGTATTAATCCCGTCTGGCTGTGGCTCGAGGCGCATGGTGGAGGAGGGGGTGGGGTGGGTGGGTCGTGTCGGGGGAGAGGGGAGCGTTGGGAGGGACCACCTGGGTACAGGAATTACCATTAATTTTAGAACAATTCATCATAGCCAAAAACAAAAGAAATACTAGTAATTATGTAATAACAAATATATAAGTTTCCTAAAAACAATTTGCACAGGCTGAAGTTTCCTTCAAAAATTTTGTGTTTTTTCCTCCTGGCGGCCTACATAACGTGTTATAGCTGCCCAAAATGGACGTGTCCAATCCTGGTCAACCCATATGCCCCTGTCTCGTGTTATACCACAATGCTGTGCCATTAGTGAAATATTTTTATAAATAACTTTTTTATTTTCATAGTAACTTTGAACATTTTTGGCCAAGACTATGTCTGGTAGAAGCATCAATTGTTGTGAAGGTGTTAAGAGGAGGAAGGTTGTCCTAACAATTAAAGACAAGTTACTTGTTATACAACATTGTGAAAATGGCCGGTCAAAGTGAAGTGAAGCCTGAGGTGAACCAAAGAGCTGATCATACAACAGGCCAATGAACATGGAAGGCAATCTAAACTTGATTCTTATATGGAAAGAAAATCAAGCCAAGCGCCTTCAACAAGTGAGGCGTCACAGGCAAGCCAAGCGCCTTCAACAAGTGAGGTGTCACAGGCAAGCCAAGCGCCTTCAACAAGTGAGGCGTCACAGGCAAGCCAAGCGCCTTCAACAAGTGAGGCATCACAGGCAAGCCAAGCGCCTTCAACAAGTGAGGCATCACAGGCAAGCCAAGCGCCTTCAACAAGTGAGGCGTCACAGGCAAGCGCCTTCAACAAGTGAGGCGTCACAGGCAAGCCAAGCGCCTTCAACAAGTGAGGCGTCACAGGCAAGCCAAGCGCCTTCAACAAGTGAGGCATCACAGGCAAGCCAAGCGCCTTCAACAAGTGAGGCATCACAGGCAAGCCAAGCGCCTTCAACAAGTGAGGCGTCACAGGCAAGCGCCTTCAACAAGTGAGGCGTCACAGGCAAGCCAAGCGCCTTCAACAAGTGAGGCATCACAGGCAAGATAAATACCTTCAACCAGTGAAGTTGAAGTCAAAACTAACTTTGCTTAATGAACTGTACAGTAATTTTAAGTGTTAATTTTAGTGTTGTGTTACTATAGGTTAAATTGTCAAGAATTTTTAACTTCAAGATGTGTGGCATCAATCAAGAAGATGAACAACAACACAGTAAGTTGAGGTTTCTAGTTGAATATTTAATAATTATATATGGCAAGGCAATTCAAATTATGTTGTTTGTAGTATAAAAATAGTTGGAAATGGTTTGTTTTGGACTCGGAGGTGAAAAAGTACCATTATCCGGAACACGTGATTATCCGACTGGGGGGAGCTTTCCCATATAGTCCGGATAATCGAGTGGAGACAGAACTTTCAAATTTTTTTAATTAATGACGCCATTTGCATCATCATGCACTCTGTGTGTTTTGGTTTTATGCCGCATATTGAGCCATCAGGCAGAGAAAGTATTAAAATGAAATATAACTAACCAAAAATAAACATTATTAAAATAATAATTGTTATGATATAGTGAGTAAGTGATGATGCATACTGGCAGGCTAATTCTTTAGTTCTACAACTAACTCCAGCTCATTAACTAATAAGAAATTTAGTTTAATTAAACCAGTTGGAATTGTTATGACTAATTTGAGAAGTTTTAGGTAACAGTAACTGTAATGCCACTAAGAGTCCAGGGGCCAGGATTTACCAAGCATTTATGCCAACCACATTTGAACCCCATTATATTTTTTTTGAGAATATCGGTAGCTTTACTTTTATCTAATGGTTTTTGAGCTCCCAAGTAGCACAAAGATATTTATAACAATAAAAACCTTAGATTGTGAACTTTTAAAGCTGTAAACTGTTCAATAAATGTAAATAAAGCTACCATTTCTGTTCAAAGGTGTACAGGTTTCAAAGATGTATGATAAATTCTGGCCTGGAGCTCATATTTTTTCTTTAGTTTATGGGTTTGCTGCTGGCACTGATCACCAAGGTACGGTGGTAGCACAATACTTGATATGCTGTTGTAATTACCCAAGTGTAGTTACAGGATGAGAGCTATGCTCGTGGTGTCCCGTCTACCCAGCACTCTGTTATATAACGCTTTGAAATGACTGACAGTTTTGGCCTCCACCACCACCGCACTTAACTTGTTCCAACCATCTACCACTCTGTTTGCAAAAGTGAATTTTCATATATTTCTTTGGCATCTTTGTTTAGTTAATTTAAATCCATGACTTCTTGTTCTTGAAGTTCCAGGTCTCAGGAAATCTTCCCTATCAATTTTGTCAATTCCTGTTACTATTTTGTATGTAGTGATCATATCATCTTTTTCTTTTGTCTTCTAGTTTTAGCATATTTAATGCCGCTAACCTCTCCTTGTAGCTCTTGCTCTTTAGTTCTGGGAGCCACTTATTAGCATGTCTTTGCACCTTTTCCAGATTGTTGATGTGCTTCTTAAGATATGGGCACCACACAACTGCTGCATATTCTAGCTTTGGCCTAACAAAAGTCGTAAACAATTTCTTTAGTATATCGCCATCCATGTATTTAAAAGCAATTCTGAAGTTAGATGGTGATAGTTTTCTATCTAGAACCACCCCTAGATCTCTTTCTTTATCAGAATTCTGTCAAGATTTCTCACATAATTTATAGGTTGTGTGGGGTCTATGTTCTCCTGTTCCACATTCCATAACATGGCATTTATTCACATTAAATTCCATTTGCCAAGTGGTGCTTCATAAACTTATTTTGTCAATCTCTTCTTGAAGGACATGGCAATCATCTAAGTTTCTTATCTTTCCTATTATCTTCCTATTATCTTAGCATCATCAGCAAACATGTTCATATAATTCTGTATTCCATCTGGTAGATCATTTATGTAGACAATGAACATCACTGGTGCAAGAACTGAACTCTGTGGTACTCCACTCGTGACATTTCTCCAGGCCGATACATTGCTTCTGATTACTGCCCTCATTTTTCTATGTCAGAAAATTTTTCATCCATGTTAGAAGTTTACCTGTCACCCCTCCAATATTTTCCAGTTTCCAGAACAACCTCTTATGTGGAACTCTGTCGAGAGCTGTTGTATATTCATGCTGAGGCCTTTAGACAGGCAGAAATTCATAGAGCTAATATTTTTTTTTTTTTTCAGCATGGCACGTACAGCTGAAGCAGTATTACCTTCCTAAAACTTCAGAGAAAGAGAAGGAAAATGACAAGGAAATGCCTGTCAAACAAGAAGCCTCACCAGTCCTCTCTCCAATTAAAACAGAACTCCAAGATAAAAAGAAGTCGTCATCTGTTTCTTCAACTCCATCTAAGCACCACAAGAGTCACAAGCATGAGAGAAAGGACAAACATGAGAAGGAAAGACACGATAAGCACAGGCACAAACATAAGGACAAGGACAGAGACAAAGACAAACATAAGGACCATCATCGAGGTGAACGTAGGAGTGAACACAAAAGCAAAAAGAGAGAGAGGCCAGAGAAGGATGAAACGGAGAAAGTAAAGAAACGGCTAAGAATGGACTCCAGTTCCTCACTTGATGAACCAGTTGTGGAAGGTAAGAATGAGAAAAGTATTTCAGGTGATACAGGGGAACCGGAGGCTAAGAAGCCCAAAGTAGAAGAAAATGGACCTAAAGATGAAACAAAGATTGAAGTAAAAGATGAATTAAACATTGAACCAAAAGAAGATTTGAAAGTTGATATCACTGGCGAATCGGAATTATTACCAGAAACAACTATTACCCCACTAGAAAATCAGGTAGATGTTACAGACAAAACTGTTGACATTACTGAAGAGTGCCCCGAAAATAACAAAATAAGCTTAGAGGCTAGTCAAGTGAAAAAGGAAAATGGAAGCCTTGAAAAATCAGTTGCTGCCTCTAAAGTGAAAGCCACTGGAGCAGTAAACAGACCAAAAACTCCAAACAAAACTACAGGTGGACAACCAGCATGTGATGTTCTTGAGTCCATTATGGCTGGGATGTCACAGTCAGGTATGCACAAATAATGCATGAGAAAGTGTTACTTGAATATAGAATTTCTTAAATATGTAGAAAACACTTGTGAACTCAATTTTTTGGGGGGATGAACATAAAGGATTATAATAAAGACTGAGTTCCATTAATAAATGATATGCATTTAATGCCTTAGATACATCAACAAGTATGTTGTGTGACCTGGTGATGCTCCTTCTTGGTGTCCTAATCAGTATGAGAAGAAACACTTCATTCTTACAAGGGTTTCAATTGCTTCTAAACACACCTAAGTGATGTTCACTTCAAATTCCCTGTGTTCTCTATAGATAGAGATGTATATTGCTGTAGATATTATGCCAACATATTTATTCATAGATTTCACTAAAATAGGGTAGAGTTGGGTAATAATAAAATACCAGAAAGCCTTGTAACTGAATATCTTGTGCCAGTTCTCTCTTTCAATGGTAGCATGCTTTGAAGATCAAAAGGCATTCAATAGTTAGTGCAAAAAAGTGACAAAAGGCCTAAGAGAACTGACATTTTGTCAATTCTTACAAACATTTTGTAGTCAAATTGGATATTTTTTTGTTTTGTATGATAAGACAAAATATTCTCCCATTCTCACAATTTGACAAGCATCAGATTTGAAGTGGCTTTTGCCTAACATGAAGTGTAGGAACCTAGGGTATCCACCCAATCATCAAGGCCAATGTGCATTAATCTGAGAAATTATCAATATTGAGGTGCTTTCCATTTCACTAAGCCACTGGAATTTTAACACCTTAGTTGGTATCTTGGCAATTGTGGTGCATTCAGTGAGAGGACAGATTAATATATCTTGCCTGGTTGCTGTGCTTAAGAGACTGTTATTATCAGTTAATGTGAAGTAATATAAGTAATGATCTGGATGTGTTGTGATGATCTTACCAAGAGGAAGGCCTCTGCTTGTGAGAGGAAGTGCAATATAAATGTAATTGGTCCTCAGTATAATTTTATAAATATTTTTTATTTTATTTACCAAATTTCAATAGATTTGCCAACAAGTTAATGAGTACCATGGCAAATATTCATCACCAGCCATAATTGCAGCAGCAAATAAATAATGTGTGTGTATAATATATATATATATATATATATATATATATATATATATATATATATATATATATATATATATATATATTTTATTTATTTATTGTGTGTGTGTGTGTGTGTGTGTAAATCACGAAAAATAAACACGTGATTAAAAATGTGACAGTGTCAGACCACGAGGAAAATTGAAACAGAAACTTTCCTAAGTACCTAAGTACTTTTGTATATTAACACTATCGGTCACTGGGCAGGCGCGCGGTCAACTTAGGGGTCATGCACCCGACATGCGGGCGAGCGCACGGTGACACCTAAATGTGTATACTCGTTTCAGCTTTCTCACCTTAATTCTCGTGCTACATCGCTCGTTTTGGTATCATTGTGTTCACAATTAAATTCCCTAGAGGTGTTTATAAATATAATGTCCAAAAGCCCGGCGTGACCCCCAACAGCAAAGCCTAAAGTCGGCAAAAGTTACCCGTGAACGCACAAAATCAGTAAAATGTGCATACTCGTTCCATTTTTCTCATCTTAATTCTCGTGCTATGTCGCTCGTTTTGGTATCATTGTGTTCGCAATTAAATTCCCTACAGATGTGTATGAATATAATGTACAAAAGTTTGGAGTGCCTCCCCGCAGAAAAGCCTAAAGTTACCCGTGAACGAGCACCAATTTGTACACTGCAACCTAATGTGTATACTTGTTCAGTTTGATAACATCAATTTTCGTGTTACGTCTTTCATTTTGGTATCAAATTGTTCGCAATAAAAATGCGCGTATTTTAGAACTAGTCCCATAATAATAGAGCAATAACTGGAATTTTAACAAATATTTTAATTCTGGAAGCTCATCATCACAAAATTATTTATATCTTTCCAGTGTTCTGACAAATTTTTGTGTTACATCTTTCATTTTGGTATCAAATTGTTCGCGACGTAAAGGCGCGCATTTTAAAACTAGTCCCAACATAATAGCACAATAAATAGAATTTTAACAAATATTTTAAAATTTTGACCAAAGACCTATTTATAATCATATAAATGTTCGGACATCAAGTTTCATGTAACATCTTTCATTTTGGTATCAAATTGTGCGCATTCTAAAGGCGTTTATTTTGATACTATTCCTAGGTCGATTGGATAAAAAAATGAATTTTATACAAATATTTTTGTAGTGGACACAAGTCCGGTCCAAAGTTAGGACTCTGGAGAAAAATAATGGACGAGAGTCCGGTTCAAAGTTACCGATAGTGTTAAGATGTACTGTATTAATATACAAAAGTACTTAAGGAAATTCCTGTTTCAATTTTCCTCCATGGTCTGACACTTTTTATATATTTATTTATTTGTGTGTGTGTGTGTGTGTATGTATATGTATATGTATGCATATGTATATATATATATATATATATATATATATATATATATATATATATATATGTATATATATGTATATATATGTGTATATATATATTATATATATTTTATATATATATATATATATATATATATATATATATAAATATATATATATATATATATATATATATATATATATATATATATATATATATATATATATATATATATATATATATATATAATGAATAGATTTGTACCTAGTAGCCAGAATGCAGTACTCGGCCTACTATGCAAGGCCCAATTTGCCTATTAAGCCAAGTTTTTCTGAATTTTTTTATTGTTCTAGTTTTTTCTATTTTGAAATGATAAAGCTATCCATTTTATTATGTAAGAGGTACATTTTTTTTAATTTTGAGTTTAAATTAACGTAGATATTTCACCGAACCTAACCTACCTATCCTAAGCTAACATACCTAAGTCAATCATTTATTTTCTTAATACTGTATAATAATAATAATAATACAAATAAACCACTTTAAAACAATTTGTTGAAAATAAAGAAAATCACTCGGCCTATTAGGCAAATTGGGCCTTGCATAGTAGGCCGAGTACTGCATTCTGGCTACTAGGTACAAATCTATTCATTATATATATATATATATATATATATATATATATATATATATATATATATATATATATATATATATATATATATATATATATATATATATATATATATATATATATATATATGTCGTACCTAGTAGCCAGAACGCACTTCTCGGCCTACTATGCAAGGCCCGATTTGCCTAATAAGCCAAGTTTTCCTGAATTATTATGTTTTCTCTAATTTTTTCTTATGAAATGATAAAGCTACCCATTTCATTATGTATGAGGTCAATTTTTTTTTATTGGAGATAAAATTAACGTAGATAAATGACCGAACCTAACCAACCCTACCTAACCTAACCTATCTTTGTAGGTTAGGTTAGGTAGCTGAAAAAGTTAGGTTAGGTAGTCGAAAAACAATTAATTCATGAAAACTTGGCTTATTAGGCAAATTGGGCCTTGCATAGTAGGCTGAGAAGTGCGTTCTGGCTACTAGGTACGACATATATATATATATATATATATATATATATATATATATATATATATATATATATATATATATATATATATATATATATATATATATATATATATATATATATACACACACACACACATTCATACATATACATCCATACACACATTCACACACACACACATACACACACACACACACCACATACACACATACATACATTCATAGTTATATCATACATTCACACATACATACAATATTTTATAATTTTAAAGTTTGTATTTATATATACAGTATTTACTTAAATCATATTTTAATCAATCTTTCAAGTGGACAGAAAGGTAGGTTTTTTATTTAAATTAGAACATTTAAGACGTGTGTGTGTGTGTGTGTATGTATGTATGTATGTATGTATGTATGTGTATATATATATATATATATATATATATATATATATATATATATATATATATATATATATATATATATATATATATATATATATATATATATATATATATATAATATGATTTGTTGTATACCAGATTAAATTTTAACCTAAAATTTCAAATTTACTATAAAGTTAAAGCTGCCGATAAAATTGAAAAAGAAAAATATAATTTTGTATGTTTTGGTAATAATCGTTGAAAAAAAACAAAAAGTTGCTGTGCGTTGCTAACACAAGTGATATTCTGTTGTCAAATCCCCGGTCATTTTTTTTTTTTATACATGTATGATATTTCTGTAAATAGCATAGCATTGGTTGTTATTGCTGACTTGCCTTCAGCTTACAACTTGTGAAAACTCCATAAGCACAGACTATTATAATTTTAACATCAGCATAAGGGGTCACTAACATTCTTCAGTGAAAATAATATTTATTATCTTGATTTCACATTACCTGGATTTGTTTCTTGTACATTATTTATTAAGTAAAAGCTCAGTGAAATTGACCACATTTTTACCAGCATGTCAGTAGTAGTCTGGACTGAATACCACACAAATGTTGTATGAAGCTGTTATAATTAATTAATTTATGTTTTGACTTGGGATTCATCACTGTTATGGTTGCATTTTTGGCAACCATAAGGTACTTAAGCTATCTGTGTATTTATCATTTCTTAACTGATTTTGAGTTGTGTATCGCTTTCACTCAAGGACATGAACGTAAAGGCTGTGAGTGCCTCGGCGAGATTAAATGCTAAGATTAACACTGCAAATCACTGTTAGCGTATCTGGCACCATTATTGTTTTCAACCTCCCCCTTTACACCCAGTGAAGATAGTATATGTTAGTTTAGGCGGCCGTATCATTATCCAGTGATGTACGTAAGTTAGGTTAGTTTTAAAGTTCTCCTGACAGTACAAAATTACCTGGGGATCACTGTGAAGTGTAACTGACAAGGTTCCTGTGGCAAATATGGTATTTCACCGATTTAAGCCAATTTCTATGTCACTTGTCAGCCCATCTTTAGCTTATAATGTATGGGGAAAGTGATTGATATTTTGTCATTAGAAACTATCAGAAACTGAAGGTATTTAATGCCTGCCCTGATAGGCATAGTGTCATTTTTAGAGTATTGAAACTTTCTTTGCTTCTTGTTTCTGAAGTATTGTTGAATGGGCTGAGGAAGGCACTAGTTGTAATATGTTTTGTAAAGACAGGAATACAGGCAATAGGGTTATTGATTATCAATTATGAGGAGATTGTTGAAAACTAATAATTCATTTAAGGCTAGAATAGCTATTTATTACTTGGAAATTATGTTTAAATTTGTATGAATTGTTCGATCGCATTTATTGTTTTCATCCTTTCTCTTTCGTCAATATCTTGTATACATTTTGTATACACTGTATTTACAGTGCATCACATTATAAGCATTTTCATCTTATTATTGATTAGATGTTATTCATGGACTTAGGCGTATTAAGATTTCTTTTAGATTAATTTGTTTTATAATGGTTTGGTGATGAAGTTTTGCTTATCAATCAGAATGACAATTGCAGAGGTTAAAAACAAAAAGATTGTATGAAACTCTGTCTTTTGATGTGTGTGTGCTTCAGCTTCCTCCCTCCCCCCTCTCCATCTCCTTAAGAAATTGCCATTATTTTTAATTTGTTGGTAGAAGGATTTTTAAAGCATTAATAACTTGAGATTATATGACTTTGAAAATACATCCTTTAAAATCTAATATTGAAAATAATGGCAATTTCTAGCAAGTTGAAGCAAATTGTGATGTTACATCTCTTTTTAAAAATCATGGCTGCATATCTGTTTTAAGAGAACTTCAGTGTATTGCCACTTCCATCCACATCATTTAGAGTAGCAGTTAAATAAAAATTCAGCTCCCCAAAATATTTCCAGGTTAACAGCCTGGGTAACTGGGTTAAACTATAATATGCATTTGCATAGATTATTGCACTCTGGTTATTTCTTTGTAACTAATTTTTGTCTTCGTT